GTGTGGATGTGGCCTTAGAGTATTTTTCTACAAGTGGATCCCTGTAATGTTGATCTTGTGTTTATCTTGTTCACAAGGACTCACATACATAAGTAAGTGTGCGCGCACAGAAGATGTGCTATATGGTCAAGCTAATGGTTTCACATAGTTTCCCTGATCTACATGTTGCAGTCACATGATAAAATACAAACGTCTTTTGAGGATGGAAACACATTTGCCACATCAGTTAGACCGCAAAGATGCTGTGGAATTTTCTTGTGTAACTCATCAAGTCTCATCATTAATCTCATTGTGTTATTACAATTAGATCTGGTGAGTAACTCAAGAAAACTCCAAATGGCAACTTTGAAATCCACTCAATAAACAAGGTGTGGTTCCCTCTGCTTCGCCAACAATGAAAAGAGATTAATCACTGAGTATGAGAGTTGAGAACAAGACTGTTGAGAGTGGCCTCTTGCATCGTGGAGAGGAAAAGCTGATTGACAGGCAGAAATGTTGTAATACCATTGCTATTTACAAATTGTGTCCTGACATTTAACTGGTAACCTGTTTTGTTACTCTCTCAGGGTATATGCAGGAATCCTGAGGTTAATTTCAATACCATTTAAGACTTTTTTAAGACCTTCCAAAAAAACCTTAAGACCTCATCGCCACTTCAAGCTGTCGTTAGCAGCAACGCATCTTTAACTTACTGAACAGATGTAGTTTGCAATTAAATCTATGGAGCACAAACATACAACAGAACTCAGATAAGATGAGAAGGATTTTTTATTGCCTTCTGCTCCTCTGTTTGGCGCCTGGACGTGCGCTGTCGCGTGATGTCGCACAGGTACGCGCACGGCCCTGAGTGGCAGTCCGAGTGTGCCTACCTACACATCATTGTTTGTAATAGTCACAAGGAGGAAAATAAATTATACATTCATGGATACTTTATGTCAAAGCTTGAATGCCAAGAAAATGTAATACTTGAAAATCGCGATTAAGACTTTTTAATACTTTTTAAGACCCCGCGGACACCCTGTCTCTAAGTACTTTAACTCATTAATGCAGTGAATCCACTGTGTTGCAATCCAATGCTTAGAATAACCTACTATATGAATAACTGTAACAGCTGCACACATTTATATATTTAATGGTATACTACAGATAATGGCCAAAAGGTGTGTCTATTTAAAGGCGGAGTCTCTCATTATGGATATAGATCATTGATACTTGAAATCACCACCTAAACAAATACAGTCCTCCCATCAGCGCTCCTCCAGAAGCTTTACCGCCCCTCTCGCTCCCATCACTTCCTTTCTCTTTATACATCCATGGCCTTTCCCCTGTCCCAAGCACTCACACAGCACCATAGTGTTGTGTGTCTCGGTCCACTTTCTTTGTTTACCATTTATCAAGCTATTCAGCACGCACACACACACAGAACGGACAACTAGCGGATCATAGAGAGATAATCTCTGAATTTGACCAAAGTGCATTAAAGCAGACTTTGGAGAACGAGGTAGTAGTGTGCTCAAGGACTGTTTTTGTCATATGAGACTCAAGAAAAAATGCAGGTGCTCTTGAAGAAAAGGGTCGGCACATGGAAAGAAAAAATGACCTTCAGGCACTGATGCATGGAGCAGGAACAAATGCACTCAAATTAAGTTAAAGTTTTAAGTTTTAAGTTTTTTAAATAATGTCTTTTTAACTTGATTCAAGTGCATTTGTTCCTGATCCACGCATCAGTGCCTGAAGGTCATTTTTTTTCTTCCCATGTATCAGAGTAGAATCACGGACTCCAGCTTATATACAGTATCAGAATTTTGAGGGGAAAAAAAGCAGTGTACTTCTCAGTTTTAATGGTATGAGCTGAAGTTTCATGTGCCAATTTAGCTGGCAATCCCTGTGCAAGTGTTTACATGTGAGATGAACAAACTGATAAGGACTGTGTTTACATGGTGTACATTAAGTGATCAGAGTGAAGAGTTCTGACCTGCACAATATACAGAATCCAGAAACACAACATGGTCAGATATTTTTAACAGGCCTACATTAAGCTCTTTACACCATGTTTGGTTTGCTGCTGAGCTTTAATAGAAGAATTTGTTTCATACCAGTAGTTATGGAACACAAGAAGACGAGTCAACCGCAACAAACCTACCAATAATCACCCTCTTAAATCAAGTGTGGTGGGAAGACGTGCAGAAAGAAGATTCAAATATGACAGATATAACCACGTTAAAGTTAATTTTCCTGCTGCTGTTTCTGATCTTGTTTGTAACCTTCAGGAAATAAACTTCTTAAAACTAAACCCTGACAACACAATTTGTTCTGAGAGGTCTATTATTCTAATAAGTGAAATAAAACACTCAGATTATTTTGAAAGAAACTCAAAGCATTGGTGTCAGATGTCGTACTTACTATCATGTATAAAGCGCACATTTTCCTCATGTGCTGGGGTGAAAAGCTCCCCGCTGTTAGTAGGGGATCGAGGGCTTGAAGTCCGCTTGTAACTATTCACCATCCTGGGAGCAGATGAGCTGCACAAACATGAAAAAAAGCAGAATTAGCAGGATGAATAGACATTCTTTTAATCATTGTTTACTCTAAACTTTGACATACTATTCTTCTGTATCTCAAGCACAAAGCAGTACACACCTGGTATTACATTTGATTACATGTTCATAACCAGTGGCGTATTTGTACATGAGCATTCCCACTGAAGTGCATAACTTTATACAGACCTGGTCATTCTGTTTGCAGTCTGTACTCGCTCCTCGCTCCTCTATGGTGAGTGGATGTGAAGAATTAAAAGCTTCAGAAGTCCTCAGCCAAATCCTAATAATACACAACGGTGGCATGTTACATAGCATCTCCACATGAAACCAGGAAGCCAGTTTCAAAATACCATAATACAGGCCTCTGATTACATTAACTTTTACTACTAGAAACAGTAAACTGGTGACACTCTTGATTAGCCCAGAGTTAAATTAGCTAGCTACTCACTAGTCACTAACAATGTACTATGTCATCTGAAGAGTTCTGACAAGTCAAATATCATTAGTAACATTACGAGTGATGTCAACTCATAGTTTCTAATGCTAGCTAATTTCTGTATAGCTGTGGTATGCTCTACGTCTGGAAAATAATGAGCAAACACTAGCCAAGGGGCTTTTGTTTACGTTTTTGCTTCAGTAGCATCAGCAGTGTTAGCATCAGGCTACAGATACAAACCCAGTGCGTTAGCCTCTGGTAAAATTCTCACAAACAAGACTGCTTACTGTCTCTACAAAGAGCTCTGCTTCTTAGCATCCATGTCCCTCCATAGCTATGTCATGGACAGCTAACTACAGATCTGCTGACACAATAATTTCGGCTAACTTTAGCCAGCTAGCTAGCTAGCTAGCCGGACGGTTTACATTGTCTTGTCGTATCGTTAGCTTGAATCAGCTAATATTCTGCTGGCGTTACTGGTCTCAGATATTTATTAGATGGACATTTAGCGCAGTTGTAACATTTCTAAGATGCACAGCAAAGGACAAACTGTTAATATAGTCAACAAACCTCTTTATAACCCTTCCTTTCGGTTTCTTTATTCAGAGGCTGTGTACGCCCGTTAGACCTGGCTAAAACGTTGCCAATGCCAACCAATCATTTCCGGGAAAAAGACACGGAAGTGAAAAAGCTCTCATCCTTACTGTTAAATATCTGGGCTCTCACCTCACACGGATACTAGCTACGTATAATATTACAGCCAATTATTACATTTACAAATTTAACATACTAGTTTATACAGTGTAATGTAGAGTAATGCACATTTTTATATTTATTTTATTTTACTTTATATACTTATATTTCATACTCTTATTCTTACTTCTTGTAATTTCTATCCTTTTATTTTATTTTTATTTCTATCTTTACATATCTGTGCTCTCACCTCTCACAAATACAGTCTACGTATAATATTAAAGATAATACATTTTAATAGACAGTCCCTATCTACTGGTATGAGATATTTGTTTAAGAAAATAAAACAGTATGTAGCTGATTAACAGTGTATTTTTCCACTTACTTTCTCACCAATATCTGTCTTCTTAAATAAAATTACAGCACTACAGTAGATTTTTCAATGGTGCTACTATTGCGACTGTATTTTAATTTTCCAATCATACCAGGATATTAGGAACATTAGGATATATCATTGTTATCATTTATAGTTTTAACATACTTGTTTATACAGTGTAATGTAGCAAAGTGCACATATTTGTATATTTGTACACAGTTACAAACTAATTTAATTTAATTCTATTTCATTTTATTCTATTTTATTTTATTTTTACATATCCCTCTGGGATCAATGAACAACTTGTGATTCTGATTCTGATTCTGAAAGCAGCAGCAGCAGCAAAACCTGACTTAAGTTGAGGACATGCACATCCCAAATAATCCTGCACCACAGTGATACTTAATTTATGGCTTGTGGGCGCCATCTGGCCCAAAACAGGGTGTCTGGTGGCCCGCCAACAATTTTTTAATTCACAGTTACAATAAACTGACTCACAATGGGATTTTTTTTTTGGCACTTTGACTGTAAATAGGGCGCCAGAGTGCAAAAAAAGACAAGCAGTGTAGTGAAAAATGGACAGATGGATTTGCCTTTATTTTGCCTTTATTTTTATTTTTTGCCCTTTGTTTCAATTTTTTTTACTATTATTGTATTTCTCATTTACTTATCTAATTATTTTTGTTTATTCATTTTATCTGTTTTTTTATTACAGTTTTGTTTGTTTTTTTACTTTTTTTTCTTTTTAATTATTTTTCATTGTACAGAAGTGCCCTCCAGGCAAAGCAAGTTGAATATCCCTGCTGTGCCATATTAAAAATGTTTTACGCATACAAGAAGGTCAAAAAGCTCCAGCCTGAAAATGATGGTGATGAAAATGCCGGTGTCTTCTCCTCTCCAGTTCTTGTGACACACTTGCATGTCTCTTACACAGACTACACAAAAGCAACAAAGGCATATTTATAAAAGGTTTCTTTATTTATGAAAACGTACAAAAATAATTTTTGAGGAGAGAATTATAAGACTTTCATTGCTGACATTCATAATTCTACCACAGAAAACAACAGCAACACATATGCGAAAAACACTGCAGCAGTAAAAGTGCTTGTACAGCATGAACTTAATGTTTTATGATTTCTGACCATCAATGAAGGATTAATTATTCATTTGGCTGATCCTCTTTCTGCCCAGCAGTGAGGATACACACCTCTGTCTATAAAACACAAACATCTCGGCCCAGATTCTGTGTTGTAAATTCGATCTGCAGTATAATCAGAGTTTGGAAACATACAGCTACTTAGAAAGTGATTGCTGATTGAATACTTAAATCAAAGTGATGTTATAGATGAATCTGATTTTCTCCATTGGACCATAGTGACACATTGCTGGTGTTGTATTACATAAGCTGAGAGTGAGGACAGGGGAGATAGGTGCAGTTTAACATTTGCTGCATACACACTGGCAGTATGACAAATACACAAGTGCACAAATAAAGTAATAAAATAACCACCAGAAAGAAAAAATACAGCCTCATGGAGTATTGCTTTAAGGCTGTAATAAAAAAAAAGTATATAGAACCACCATCTTGCTTCACAGGACCAGTGACACAGCCCTAACTCTGGCCATGTTCTTCCACCCTGTCACAAGTTTGTTTGGTGTTAAATACTGTTAAATATGTTGCTTCCAAGTGGCTGCTCCGCCCTTCATCTTGTCTGTTGCTCTTCTCTCTGTGGGTCCATTTGGTGCCCGGTCACACACAGCCCACCTCGAACAGTTTGAGCAGGTCTTTGCAGTCTGGGTCGATGAGGTCTGCAGGCTTCTCGCCGTTTTCATTCTCCGCCTCTGTGCTCGCTCCCATCGCCAGCAGATACCTGAGTGGAGAAAGAGGCAGAGTGATGTTAAACAGATGATCTCAGAGATTTTAAAATAACATGGTTTTGTTTATCAGTTCTGCAACTGGCTGTGGTTTTTGATTGTTTCTATCTCAACTCAAAGACTTCAGAATAATTGTTAGAATTCAGTGGTATTAGTGAAGCTGTATTTTGCCTTATGGATACAATTCAGTACAACATGTGACACTAAATTCTCCAGTGTTTTCCTCCTCTTTAATCCCTGATTTTTGCTTAATGCTGAATACCATGTTTTGTTAACTGATGGTTAAGTTTCATGTAAGTTTTTCACTGCAAATTGTGAATGTTCAGAGCCAAACTACCTACAACAGGGCCAGGGTATTAGGGCCACATTTAGAAATAAAAAATCTGAGAATAAAGTCGTATATTACCAGAATATAGTTGTAATTTCAAGAAAAAATTGTAATATTGAGATAATAAAGTTAGAATTAATGACAATAAAGTCATGCTATTTCAAGAAAAAGGGTGTAATATTACTGATTATACTGATTCTGATTATAGTGTATCAGAATTAAGTCATTAAATTATGTGAATAAAGTAACAATTTTATGAAAAAATGTAATATTATATTGTAAATTTGTAATTTAATGAGAATAAAGTCAAACTATTTAAGGAAAAGGGGTACAATATTACAAAACTAAATGATAATTTTACAATGACAAAAATCTTGTTAAATTATTACTTCATTTGTATAAATTTCAACTTTTATGTCAAAACTACGACTTTTTTCTCAAAATTTAATGACTTCATTCTCGAAATCTCATTACAGCATCAATACTAAAATTAAAGACCTACGTTTTATTTTGTTTTCCATGTTTTATTCTTTGTGATCAGTGCACCAAAAACGGAAGCATGATTGACCAAAATTAAAGGGTTAAAAGGTCACGTGTTACCTGGCAATTTCCGGGTAGCCGTCGCTGCAGGCCATGTGAAGCGGCGTCCAGCCATCTTCGTCTCTCTGATGAACATCAGCGCCGTATTTCACCAGCAGCTTCACCACCTCCATGTTTCCTGTTAGCACGGCTTCATGTAGCGCTGCCATACCTGCACACAAGATTACGTCAGCCCTCTGCTGCATCATAACTGACATCATAACTGTTCCTCATTGGCTGTCATTATTTCTAATATCAAATCAGATTTGCAGGACAGTGTGACAAAGAAGTGTGGGGCTTTGCTCACCTGAGTGGAAGATCGTATCCACACGAACCTTCCTCGCTCTCATGAACCGACCGATCTGCTCCAAATCTCCTCGTCTCACAATATCCTGGAAGATGATGTCATTGGGGAAGTGCACAGTTCTCTTTGCAGGTGCGACAGGTGCGACAGGTATGACAGGTGCAGGGTCCTCCTGCGCTTTTGTGCTCCGGCTTGAACTGTACCGTGACCCTTTGCTGGATGAGGGGACGTACGTCGATGCAGACTTGTAAGTGGACGTGTAGTGTGACGTGCTGTACTGTGTCGTGCTGTACTTTGTCGGGGAGGTGTATGAGGATGTGTAGTTCAGTGTGGATGGCGTGTAATGTGAGGGGGTGTAGTGGGAGGGTGTATGGTATGTTGGCGTGTACTGTGAGGTGCGTGTGTACGTCGACACCGGCACATGGTAGTTGTACTTCATCCCTGCGGCGGCTGCGGCTCTGCCTCCTCCCTATGCTGTCAGCCCAGGAGGAGGGAAGTGAGAAACCCAAGAGAACTCAATCCAATAAAAGAGCAGTATCCTTGGCTCTGTGTCCTTTTTACTCCTTGCCTTGCTCGTTTCTTATCCTTTTAGTTCCCAGCTGGAGGATCTCCTGCTGAATACAAGCACCTCTTAAATCTTCACTGTGATCCAATCCCCTTCTATTAGCTTTTAAGGTCCTCTTTTTCTTGCCTGCTGTGAATTTCTCCCACCTGTGTGCTAAATTATCTTTTGCACAGTGTGTTTGCCGTTGCACAGAACAAATGTCTGATGTGGGCAAGCGGGAGAGCACCCCTATATACCCTCTGCAGAGCTATTTTCGGGCCTAATATCCAGTGACTTCAGCTTAGAAATGAGTGGCCCTTGTGCTGCTCCTCCCACTGTAGAGTCATATGCCCAGTGACACTGCATCCACCCCTCATAAAAAATGTTGACAACCAACATGTTCCCTGTGAGGCTTGCTTCAGACCTACATCTTCCCACATAAACATTTAAACAACTATATTTAACATCAGCGATAAATGTTGACAGAAGGAGACTGTACCTCAGATGCACAAGAGCAATTATTTGGGGTTATTACAAGCTTTAGTTTTCTATAAATCATGCTGTTTTGGTTCTAGATGTGTTGCAGGACAAACAAACAACAACAAACAGCACTAGTACATGAATTCATTTTGATATGTGTTGTTGATTTGTCTGCTTACGTCATACCCGATGGTGCAGTGTAAGTAAGTTAGAGCAGAAACATTAGAAAAACAAACATTTTGCTTCATGTAATGATTTTGCATGCTCCTTCTCGTGTTCCCAGTTGACCCGCAGGTCCGTCATGTGACACGTCATGCTTGCCCTTTGCATCACAAGCAGATACACCAATAAAATTCACAGAGGAGGTCACAGTTGGGAGTGACCAACCGAGGGGGCAAAGCTACTAAATGTAACCTCTCCCTCCAAATGTCACGGAGCAGTCACATGGTTGCCGAAAAACGCAGCTATTTACAACACTGAACTTTTGCCTTCCTAAACAAGACTGATGCGCACACGACAAAATGTTGCATTTCTCATGAACAGAAATCCCATTTATCACCTTTGTTTTTTAATCTTTTGTAGATTTAATATTCAATAACACAAGTTTTTGACAAGTGTGAATTTATTTATTATTCATACGTACGGTAAGTCACTCTAAAACCTACACGCTGCATACTTGAACGCTGCTGTAACATTTGTGGCAGCAGCTGTCTGCAGACAGACTTCTGCGATGGGCAGAGCTGGTTATAACTGGTTCACAAACATTTGGAAGAGGTCTTGGGAATTTCACAGATGCTGCCAATATAACAGAGGAAATAGTGTAGCTGCCCTCTGCAGGTTTTTGTTTCTCACCACTACTCCAAACACTTAAGATATGACCTCGCTCCAGAACTTGATCTCCTCTGTTTTAATTTGCAGCTATTGTAATTCTATGCTACATACTTTACAATTTGGTATACATTTTATTCATATAATTAATCACTTTAAAGGGTAAAGGTGGTGTTTTTTAACCTTGAGTCTATTTTCCCATGTTCTTGTGCTTAAGTGATTGATAGGAACAACAGCTTTTGAATTTGGTCCAGTATCGAGCACAACATACAGCAGGCTGCAATGTTGATTTATGTCTATTAAAAGTTTTTGTTTTTGCCACTGACAGGCTCAGATTGTTATTATAAGTGTCTGACAAAATTATGGAAAGAATCCCGACAGAGACAGACCTTTTTGTTACAGAGTAAGATCCTTTTTGTCTGACGGGAAACAGCCTCGAAATCACCACCAGACTCCATTTTAAAAAAAACACCAATTTTAGCATGTACAGAGGCAGCATTATTTTCACATCTTACTGGGTGAATTAAGAGTTTATTTCAACAAACCAGAGTTGGCTATTGTTAGAACAGTGGAAAGATGAAACAAGATGGTGTTTGTGAGTTTAATTTGCTTCTGTCAGCTTTGAATGAAGTGTGTTCTAAGATGATAAAATTACAGTCTATTTAAATGGAGTCTGGTGGATTTGGAGATGGACATTTTGGGGTTGTTTCTGGTTCAACAAAAAGGTCTTACTCTTTAGCACAAAGGTTCATCTCTGTGAGGATCCTTTCCATAATGTTGTCAGACTATTAGAATTATAATCTGAGCCTGTCAGTGCCAAAAACAAGCACTTTTAGTGGACGTAAATTGATTAAAATGAGCCTGTTTGGCTGCTGCCGACTGCCGCCCTCTTGCTTAATGCTGGACAAATTTAAAAAATGTTGTCACCATTAGTCATTTAGAAACAAAGACATGGGAAAAGTAGGGGCCAGGTTGAAAAGTACTGACCATGATCATCTTCAAAGCCATTGAGCAATAGCCTGGTAAGACCATCTTGATCTTGAACATTGTGTTTCGCTCTCTGTATCAGTTTGGACTTGGCGCTGCCCCAAACACTTTCAGTGGATGGGTGTACTTGCCTTGTTGGACAAACCCCTTCAGCCAATCAGTGTAACAAAACAGCATGGCACATACTCTCCATTATCAACAGAGCCAGTTGATAAATCAAGCTTTTGCCAAGTCCTTTCGTCTTTTCCTCTGGTTCTAATTGTTGTTATTGACTCTATTTCTGCAATAGAAGAAGACTTAATTAACCCCTGAGGGGAAATTCAATTTTGTTTGTCTGTTGTCATACACACACATGCACAGGACTTATATGCATTAAATGGAAGGATGTCAGAGCGAGGGGGCTGCCCATGGACAGACGTCTCGAGCAGTTGGGAATTTGATGCCTTGCTTAAGGGCACCTCAGCAGTGCCCAGGAGGCTAACTGGCACCTCTCCAGCCACTAGTCCACGCTCCATATTTGGTCCAGATGGAGACTTGAACTGGTGACCCTTCGGTTCCCAAGACAAGTCCCTATGGACTGAGCTACTGTCTTCACTCAGTGCTATATTTACTCTACCAATGTTAGAGTTTTTGCTTGTTGTTTTGGGAGCCGCCATTACTGTTCTGCAAGCTGCAGCCTTCATATTACGTTATCACACAGTCCCTGATTGGCTTCTTACATTGCTGACTACAATGCGAATCTTTGATTGGGGTGTTTGGGGCAGCATCAAATCCAGACTTATACAGAGGGCGAAACAGAATGTAGAGCTTACATCATCAGAATGGTTTTACCAGATTTACAACAATTGTGAGACAACTTTCAAGACCACAAGCTTTTCACAACATCACACAATGTTAAGGGCCGTTTTTTTTCCAGTTATGTCACAATCACAGGACAGAGATCACATGATCATCCCAGCAGGAAATGATTAATACATTTCTGCTATGGTAAGAGTTGACCCCAGCTCTAAATGCCAACACAAATTATTATCCATCACCTCCCTGCACTACTGGTCTCTAAACAGAGAGGGGAGAGGGAGCAGAGGCTTAGGGCTAATGTCTACACAAATTGAATGTTCACAGCTCAAGGAAGAGACTTTTAGAAGCAGCTATCAGGTTTCAACGTCTCTTATACGGTATTGAGGGGGTGTAGGGGCGTCCCTGAGCACTGGTGATTCTCCCCAGCTTCCCTTCACTCCCCTCCACAGAGACTTCCTCCCGAGAAGAAAGGAGAACCTCGGCATGTGGAAAATGTTTGTTTGCTACAGCCCAAAGTCAGGCCCGCTTTTGGACGAATGCCAGAGAGGGGTCTCACACATTACAACGCCTTGCTATACATAGCCCCAGACCGCCCTTTATGTTATGATCTGTCACATTACCAAGAAGTCAGAGTTGAAAATATTCAGATGTATAGAACATCACCAGAGCAACAACAACAATTATTGAAGGGGAAGGGATAAAGTTTCACGTCTGCAGGGGTCATCAGCTCCCTCAAGTGACTTTTTAGCTAGTTAATATGTCTCCAAGTATGTATATATCTAGGCTATATTCTGTATTAAACGCTTTAGCATGACTTTGTCTTTGTGAGGCTCAGGGAAGCAACACTCCCATTCTACTCAGGCATCAATTGGTTGATCAGGGCTGTAGCATTTTGACAAATCTGATCAAAGGTTTTGACCAGGCACCAAAGAAGTATGCACTTCTCATATAGTTTATGTTATATTAACTTTAGTTTAGTGTCAGTAACTTTTTTATCTCCTAACATGAATATCTAAAGCACTTCGATTTTATTGCTGAGCTCTCTTCAGACTGTGAGGACCAAAATTCTCTCTGCATTTTCTAAAATAAGTCAGGCTTACGTATATAGAGACCGAAAAGTGCAGAAATCAGCTTATAAAATATCCACCACACTTTAATCTTTAATGGCCAAACGTAAACTCCCCACAGGCTCTTAAAAAATCCCACACTCCCTGAAAATAAAACTAAAAATACAAAGGACATGACCTCAGTGTCCTCATTGATGACTGCAGCTGAGCAGCGATACTGACGTCAGTCATCCAAAAAAAAAAAAAATAGAGGCTTATATTGGATCAGATTTGGGGCATGTGAACACTTCTTTGTTCATGCACTCCTTGCTTCTCTTCTCTGCTACTGTTTTATATGCACACATGTGTGCACACATTAACTGTACACACAGGAATGAAATATAAATAGCTTGTTTCTGCAAAACGTTTCCTTCATTGGCCTTTGCTTGTATAACTTACCTAAACCGGGATGCGCATCATGCAATTCATTCTGTGGTTATGAACATATTTTGCCTTTTATTTTATCAGAGTATATTGTGTATTGGAGTAAACCAAGAGAAAAGTCTGTTTTGAGGCTGTACAAAATCTAGCCCGTGACAGGAGACTTTGACCAATCATAGGTCATTTCAGAGTAAGGAAGTTCCTGTTGACTGTTCTACAAATGCAGATGCGTGTGCACATCCCTTCAGTGAAAGCCTGATTCAATGGAGGAGAATCCTACAGAGAAAGTTGCTATTCCAGCATTGCCAACAACTGCCAACACTGCAAAGTAACTACAAAAGAGAAAGACAGACTTATAAAAAAGAGAGTCTGACCATAAATGCACGAAAACACATGTCAGTATCAGAGATCAGAGATGAAGTGAAATGTTGCTAATAGTTTCACCTTCTGCTAACTGGAACCAAAGGCCCACGGCTGCGTCTTCATGTTCACATTTATCTGGCTAACAAAAGTGAGAGACTTGAATCACAGTGTGTCCTCTGCTTCACTCCCTGCCACTTCAGACCACTTCACCGGGAGAAGAGCATGCAGAGCGACCGCAACAACACAAATACAGCCAGCACAAACCCCAACTCCACATCAGATCAGCAAACTTT